CACACACACACACACACACACACACACACACACACACACACACACACACACACACACACACACATATACACACGCACACACATTCTCTTGTCTATTGATGGGGGCGCCACCTGCTGGAAACTGGGTCCAGCTTCCCATGAACATCGTGAATAAAGCACCAATCGGGACCCCACACACACTCTCTTCGAGTTGTGTATAGCGAACATGATAATACATGCACTGCATACAGCACAAGCACTGCCTTACCCTTCCCGAACCACATCAACAAACAAACTACGGGTTGCGCACCCGTGCCCTCACAGTAAGTCAATAGGCTTCGGTGTCTGTGTCAAAGTACCGCATTTTCAGCGGCAAGGGACCGGCGCACAAGTGGGTTATAAGGGGGTGGAAATTGTTGGGGGACCGGTCCACCGCTACCTACAGCTACCTCGCATAGAACCGTCGTGATAGCAAATTGGAGGATCGGTCCTCAACTGCAACTGCATGGAAACCGCAAAATGGGCTTTGGAAAAAAAACAGTTTGCCAATGTTTTGAGGCATGGGCGTTGAGATAGGGTCTTGCGTTGCAGTGTGGCGCGCGGTATTGGCGAAACGAGGTCAACGGTGGCGAATGCGGGAAGGCCCAACGACTGCCTTGCTAGGAGTCTAGCGGTTAGTTTTCGTTTGGCACGCTGTCGCGCGCGGCGGTCCCGCACCCTGCTGGGAGCGCTGAACCTCACGGTCGCGTCACGCAGGACTTTTTGTTAGAGTCGCAAAGAACCAGTCACCACTCCGACTGTGCGCGCCGGCTATACCTCTCACGACACCCCATAAAAGGTCGAGGTGCCGCAAGGTATAACTTACCTCTACCCAAGGGGTTGTCACCACCCTTAGGTAGGTGTATCCCTGCTGAGCTACCGGCCCATATGCGAAGACTTTTACATGCCTTTGTAGAGGTAGGTAGGTCGAGGGATTTTGCTCGATCGTCACAGCATAGGAGTGAGGTACGCGCGGCAAGACACCTAAGACAGACCCGTTAGTCAAGTCAGGTTCGGGATGCGATTTCCCTATCCCGGACTTCTAGTTATTCAGGTCGAACTTTTTAGAAGGTTGTCTATTTTCGCTTCTTCGTCTAAAAATGTATTATTGTCCTGACCATAGCGATCAAAGTACCAATCAAACCATCTCACTACCAAGGGCATTATGTTCTACTTAACAAATTATGACTTAACTGAACATTAGATAGTATAGAGGTTACATAAGACAAATAATGAATATGGATGTATTCCGCAGAGAACCCTTCCCACTTTCACAAGTGTTGTGTGTCCGAGACTCTTCAATAGATAAGGTCCAATTCAATATAAAATCACGCACAAAACAGACATGCACAAAATATGCAAAGACGGTTCACATGTCATGCACTAATGACGTCAACCATCAATCCACACCATTGAGTTTGTCCCTCATTTCCCAAACCATATATGACAACTCTATCTTTCCTGAGATGTAAACCCATACCCCTAACGTTTTCTTCAAAGGACACTTGAGAGTGACTAGGGTCATTCAAGCAATGGCCACAGACGACAGTTTTACTCACTACATGGTTTGTCTTTAAATGTGAGTATCAAGTCAATGAGGTATAGTTGAATCGGTAACAACCGACCTATTATCGAGAGATAACATAAATTTGGATATTTTTTGTATGCCCTTTCCTTCAATTGCAGTAGATTAAACAGGGACTTGCACACACACAAATCAACAAAGATTGAACATCCCCAATTGTTTTCCACTTATTGATATCTAAGGGTGAAACCCTTAGGTATGGGTTGTGAGCTTTGGGATTGACATCCCAATGTCTAATCCCTAGTTCTATTCTTACAACCTTCCCTAAGTCATTTGTCTCCTTTTCCTTTCTCTCAAGAAGTTTCAAACCTGTGTTTTAAATTATCTCAAGAAAAGTTGTATTTCCTTATATCTTAGTTCACTCATCTTTCTCTCTTGGGAATAAGCACACCTCTTGGTGCTTACGTAGTTGAGTTTAACTCAGTTGATGTTGTAACTTTCCTTTTCGAAAGTCGTGGAGGGACATGGACTATGTGGTGATTCTAATTATTCCTAGAATTTTGTTCTCGCGGTTATAACTCCTCTCTTTGTTTTTCTCCTAGATATGTGAAGTGACGCGTCAACAAGAGCGTTGTCCTTTCCTCTTTCTCTTCCTTTTGTCATGACATACGCAAGTAGTGGATTGATTCAGACATGAACCTTCCGCTACCTGATCAATTCCAAGCAATTTGTTAGTCAACTGGGTAGTTGAACAATACATACAAGAATATTCGATCACCTTTCCGATTCTATTCAATACCCGTGCAGACGGTTAATAAGAGACGATACACGAGATTCGTTTTTCATAAGTAGCGGGATAGCTTGCCAGGAGTATCCATTGTGAAACAAATAGTTGAGGCTGCTACCGGGGCACCTCACTACTTGCATTAGTCATCGTTCGTAAAAAATCAATTGTACCCCCTCCCGGTTAGTAGGGATCTAAGTGAATAATAGGCGACTCACACAAGAGCCCCCTACTATCACGTGATCAAATACACGGTCAACTTCATAAGTGCAATAGGACGATCCTTACAATGACATCCTATTGCTCCCCCGAAGCCAACTGAGCTGAGACCTGGTTAGTTTGGACAAAAGACGAGTTTTTATGATATTCCTACAAGAATATCCCACCTCGCAAGTTAGTACAAATCAAGCAAGTAATAGGCTGACCCTAACAAGGGCCCCCCTACTGCTTCCTTGGGTAATGAGTAGTCCATCTCTTAAATAAGCAATAAGATGACTCCTACAAAAGTCTTTCTACTACCCGTTTTGTGATCGGACTGCCTGTGAGTAAGTAAGTCAGTAGAGAAAAAGTGGCAATATGGTTTCCTACTTCTTGCAAGTTATTAGCCAGTTTTAGACTCAAGTGTGTGAATACTAGGATGACCTTCACATGAACCCCCTATTACACCTTGTGTTACGGAGTCAGCCAGGGCTCAATCCCTGGTCCGCGGGTTACCATCCGCGAGGTTGTATTTTTTAGTCTCTGATTTTCGGCCCACCTTTGCCACTTTCGGATTTTGTACTTTGCGAC